CTGTGCTTCTTGACGCAGGCACATGATTTGTATTCCCGCTGGATCCATCTTTGGCCGAGTCTTCTGTAACGCCGGGGGTGACACACACAACTGGAGGTAAGATCCAATATGCAGGTTTATTCAATGGTCAAGCAAGCAATGGTCTAATCAGGTGTAAACGGGTATGTGTTGGCAGATCCAGAATCGTAATCAGTGTACAGGCAATAGGTCATAAGGCTGGCAGCTAAACGGGATAACAAGGGTAAACAAGGCTAGGGTCTAAACTCGGAAAAAACAAGACAAGGAGAAACGCGTTGTAATGTCACTGGAAGCAAAGAAGACTTGGCAAACTGGATGGTAGAATGAGTGGCTTACGAAGAGTGTCTAATCAGTCTCTGAAAGTCCTCAGGTGATGCGACTGTAATCAATGTAGTCCAGAGGAAGGCGGAAGTGTAGTCCATGGTTATAGTGGGGACCAGCGATCTCCAGAGAGCGATCGCTGGTTATCGTAACAGATGACCTGACAAACAAATCCTTGTGTTCATTATATTCTTCAGATACGAAAATATTTGCTTTGTGAAATTTAAAGTATAATGTTTGGCAATTGGAGTATTCTGATTACTAAATATTGAACTGGTTTTATGCCATTTGATAACATATGTTATCTGGTAAACAAAGACATTCATGACTTTTATACCAATGCTGGAATTTTCAGATATGGGCAACAAACAATCAGAACTTAATAGAGAGGGCTACACTGTGGTGAGTGAAGATCGCTCTGGTTACTAAAGTAACCCTAAATGCTATATTTGGATTTAATCCACAAATGGGGAATTCATTTCAGAAAGCCAATTGTCTGAAAGAGTATATAACGAGCCAATAAAATGCCAACTGAGTTGGCAGCGTAAGCTTGCGCACCTGTAGCTTATTGCAATCAACTCTGCACATAAGCACAGGGAAAGCAAGGCAACGCTATTCTTTTAAGCTGAAGAGACTGACACTTACAGCTGATTAACAATCATAATGGCGATGCTATATAGCATTTCCATTCCCCTCCTCGGGGAATGAGGGTTACTTTAGTAACCAGAGCATTCCCCTTCGGATGGGGAACTTCAATGCTATAAGTGGATTTAATGCATGTATGGGGAAATGTCTGGAAAACGCCATAATGACTGCACCTTACCTTCGCCTCCGATGAGAGGATAGCCAGGCATAGCGTGAGCGCTCCTGCATCATAGAGAGGCGCGGTCTTCCAACGTGATCCCTGGCCCTTACTTATCTCGCTTCAAAGAAGATTTATGGATTTAGATATATTTTTCAGGAGCTGCAAGCGTCTAGATAAGAAAAGTACGACAGTACGTTGGGAAGATGCTGTGGAGGCCACCTGCTACCCAATGGGGAGATATGATGGCAAAATATATGGACTAGCCCTGAAAAGGGGGATTACACATATAATAAGATGGTTAGCGGAGAGGGAAGACACGGGTCCACCTGTGAGGGGGGACTACACCCTGGCTGAATAAGCATATGGGATCATGCATAGCAGGCACCTATACCCAAAACGCGGGCTGTACAGCGGGCAGACCTACAACCTAATGGGCCAGCAAGTGATTCTGTAGGAATCTGCAGGGCTTACCTAAGCGGGGAACTTTACTGACAGATGAAAAAGCGCACGTATCTCCATGTTAGGGAGAATGGCGCAGCAAGCTTCTTTCAACACCTTAACCGAGTTGTTTCCTCAATCACCAATCACCGGCTCCACTCGCAGATTGTAAAACCTTACAAATGTATTAGGTGTCCCTCTACAGCTCTACAGATTTCTGTTAGAGAGGCGCCGCATGCACGCGCCCAAGAGGATGCAATGCTCTGAGTGGAGTGTGCACGCACTCCTGGGGGACACGGCTCACCCTGGCTCTGGTAAGCGAGGAAGATGGCATCCACTATCTAGTGGGCCAACCTCTGTTTTGATACGGCACTTTCCTGCTGCCGATGGCCATATCAGACGAAGAGCTGCTCAGATGATATAAAGCTCTGAGTGCGGTCCAGATAAATGCACAAAGCGTGAACTGGACAAAGTAAGAAAAGGGCTGGGTCTGCCTCCTCCGGAGGCAGCGCTTGCAGGCTCACTACCTGGGCTTTAAACGGTGTGGTAGGAACCTTCGGCGCATATCCTGGGCGGGGTCTCAGGACAACATGAGAGTAATCTGGCCCGAATTCCAGGCACGAATCACTGACCGAAAATGCCTCTAGGTCCCTGACCCTCTCAATAGATGTAGACGCGACCAGCAGAGCTGTCTTCAGGGACAGAAATCTTAAAGATACTGAGTCAAGTGGCTCAAAGGGATCTGTATGCAGGCTTGTGAGACAGCGGGCGAAATCATGGGCATGAGAGGGGGGTGGGGTGGATTAATTCGCTTAGCAACCGGATGATGAGGTTATGCCTTCCCACGGTGCTGCCAGCCACTGCATCATGATGAGCGGAGATGACAGCCACGTAACCTTGAGTGTGGAGGGCGAAAGCCTGCTCTCCAGCTTTTTTTGGAGGAAAGAAAGCACAACACTGATCTGCCAATTTCGGGGGTCTTCTCTGTGGGAGACGCACCATTCAGTGAATAGACTCCACTTCAGGGCATAGGCGCGCCGCGTGGAGGGGGCTCTAGCGTGGTATTAACCACCGCAATCGGTAGGTTACTGTAACATTCGCTTGCAGAACGTATTTTGGATAAGTGTGTGCGTTCGTTTGTATGTGGGTGTGTCGTTTCATGCATGTGTTACAGGTACGAACGGCATTGGAGGATCCGCATTTCGTGCTGATGACGTTGGCCGCTGACGCTGGGTTTGCGCCACCAATCGCTGGTTGGCGTAGCGTTTAAAAACTGCCCAAACTGCAATGGCGATCTCTCTCTCTCTCTCTCTGTCTCTTTCCTTCTCGCCACTTCTTGCTCTTATTCTTTCTGTGAGTCTCTGTGAGGACAGTCTCTCTCACGAGGGCTAGTCTGAGAGAATGTGTTTTCCTTGTTTAATGCTCTTGTCTAAAGTTTGCGATTTAACCATGTTTGTGAAATTGTCCAGTTAACTGACATGTTTGAGTGATGCCTCGGAGAGGTGTAGGAGTGAGTAAGTCGCGCGATATACATATACAACACTCAGAGTGATATTTTGTATTAGTTCATTAGGTTCAGGAGAATGTGCTGTTTTCTGTATGTTTTGTTTTTAGTTAGAGCAGTTTAGTCAAGACGTTTGGTACATTGAAGATGTTTCTTTTCATGCTTTTCTTTTCATATTTAGTTTAGTTTGGTGAAAACAGTTACTGAGTTTTGTTATATTTATTTCTTTGATTTAAGCACAATTCAACTACTTCCTCTCCCGCAGGTAATTCATTATTTAATCATTGTAAATATTTTTCTTTCACTGTATAATATATTTTCACTGGTTTCATTGGATGTGTGGGCAATAAATAATTGCAGTGATTATTTGATTCAGTTTATTTCTTTCTCCATCCGCTTGTCACACACATTAAACTAATGTATGTTATGTAATCTACTCCTAGTTTAATATTAACATCTAAAAGGACGTAACATATAATTGGGGGCTCATCCGGGATGTATTTAAATTATTTAAAATCTTAATTTAGTCCCGGATAATAGTTTTGTGTGTGTGTACTCGGATGGTGTAGAGAAAAAAGGAGAAAAACTGTGACAGTGAAATAGTATAATTTTCTCTCTTTGCAATTTTGGTATTTTGTAAATAAGTAGGCTATTTGTGAGAATTTAGACAATGAGTACTTTTGATTTAGAAACATTTGTTGCTAATCCGACATTGGAAGTTTTTGAGCGATGTAGGAAAGACGATTTATTGCAGATAGGTGAACACTATAGCATTCCTGTTGTGAGGCAGTCTTTAAAGCGCGAGGTTAAAGACGAGGTTTTAAAGCACTTGATTAAACACAAAATTTTAAATTTACCTGATGCGGATGGCGATAAGGCTGGTGCAGAGGCTGTAGAACACAGTCCTGATAATTTAGTGGATGCGGAGAAGGAGACGGGTGAGTATGCCGAGGTGGAGACCGAGGCAAAGACAGGCTTGCCGCCCTTCCATCCATTTTCCCCGACTTCAATTGAGTCTAGGGGTGATGCGAGGCTAAAGGTCCACCTGGCTCGCATGCAGATTATAGCTCAAGAGCGAGTTGAGACGCGCCATGCCGAGATGAAGCTGCGCCTGGATATCCGTAAATTGGAAATCGACGCGGAGACACAGGTAAAACTTAGACAGCTCGAGTTAGACTCGATGTAGGTTGGTTCTGGCCGATCTGTGCAGTTAAATCCTGTAAGTCCTGCTGCTAATGATAATTCGACAAGTTTTTCTAGTGATGTTTCGTCTAGTGCTTTTGATATTAGTAAGCATATTGCTTTAGTGCCTCACTTCAGAGAATCCGAAGTGGATTCCTATTTTGCTGTTTTTGAGCGTGTGGCTGCCGCACTTCATTGGCCTAAAGAAGTTTGGTGTCTTTTGCTACAGTGTAAATTAGTCGGAAAGGCACAGGAAGTTTGTTCTGCTTTAACTTTGGAGGAGAGTTTGAAATATGATTCAGTTAAGAGCGCTATTCTCCGCGCATATGAGTTAGTGCCTGAAGCGTATCGACAACGTTTGCAAAAAATATAGTAATAATAATAATAATAATAATAATATTATTATTAATATTTCAGTTTCCCAACAAAATTAGTTGGATTAAAATAAAAAAAAATAAAAAAAATAATAAATAAATACATTAGAAAAACATAATGAAATATGAAATTAGTTATCTTTTCAATTATTATCATATGCAAAAATATACAAATAAATAAAACTCAAAAATATACAAAACAATTAAACTCTTCCTGCTTCTAGTTCAGATGAAAAATGCAGCTTTTCAACATTTTCACTTTGTAGATGAGACCTGTCTGATTGGCAGGAAGGAGGGACTACTATACTACAGCAATGATAAAAGAGCAGGATTCAAAGCTGACTGTTCACACACTTCACTGCTGTGCATGACAAAATTGAACAGTATTTGAGTCTTGATTGAAATTCTAGGTAAGTTGAACAATTACAATTATTGTTACCATTTATGACTTGCAATTTTTTAATTCATTTCTAAAACTGTGAATACTTACTAAATACCTTACTAATATACATTCTTTTATTCATACATGGTTATAAAATGTACGTGTTTTGCATTTTAAATTTCATGGCTGAAAATTAAGTATTCTCATGTGGTTGTATTTATAATTTTTGTAAATCTCATTCTTAGATGTTAGGTTGTCCAAATGTCTGTACTGTATGTCTGTTTGAAAGAACGCAGTAAAGACAGATAATCAAACAGACAAAAACAAATACAAAAAGGACAATCAAAACTGATGGAAATTTTTACATCATAGACAGATCTTAAGTTGAATTTCTGCTCTTCAACATAAAGCAAGACAACTTAATTATGTACTGTATTTTAATTTCCATTTTCCCACAGCATCAAAAATGAGCACTTTAATCCAAAACGTTGGCAGTAATGATATCAGAAAAACAGCAGGTGAGTATAAACATTATTAGTTTTGATAATGCTCAAGAACACAGTAATTTCCATTTTAAATCCTGATTGTAGAAGTGCTGGAAAAACATGAATTCACCATAGAAAAGGAACTTGGACGAGGGACTTCAAGACGAACATTTCTGGTGAAAAACACAGATGGAGATCTTTTCGTGGTCAAAGAGGTCAACTACAGAGATGTGAGTACAATCAAAGAAGTATTACTGTAATGACCGAAGTGTTGAGAGATATTGTATTATGACTTTATTAAGATGCCATTTTTAGTCACAGATGATATTTGTTCTCTACAGAATGAGACTCTCAACAGAGTCAAAAATGAAGTCAGCATCCTGAACAAGCTTCGCCATGGATATATTGTGACTTATGAGGACTCATTTGAAGGTATGGCGGTTTAAATTATAGAAAAAGCCTTGTTATTACTGGCTATGTATTGTGTGTATTATTAAACCATGTTAATGTATTTGGATACAGAATCTGAAAATTTTTACATTGTTATGGAGTACTGTGTCAAGGGAGATCTCAGCAAAATTATGAAAGCGCAGAAAAATGTAGGGATGTTTGAAGAAAAACAGGTGAGAGTCTACTACTTTAAATCTAGGACATTCTGCTTTAACACATGTGGATCAATTCTTTTGTTCCAAAACAGGGATTAAAATTGTTACAGTGTTGCTCTTTGTTCTTGGTGCGGTTCACTTTCACATGGCAAAGTTTCTAAACAGACCAAAAGAGCTAAAACAAGTCAAGTGCGAGTAAACTCACCTCACATTGGTCAGAGTTTCATGGTTAATTTTGCAGAGTCCTGCTCAGCTAATCATGTATCCCTGTTTTAATTTATAACCATGAGCAATAAGACAAAATAAGCGAAAAGCTGTGCTTTAATTTTGAATGGTGACAGACATCATCACCAAATACAAATCAGAGGTAAGACTTTGTCATACATAGCCGTTGGCTAGAAATATGCCTTATAGGCTTTAATTATAGAGAGAAATAACTGATAAATCAAGACTGCAGTTTAGTCAATTTTCCTAACAATTAAACAGCTCTCGTTGATAGTTAACATGCTTTCACTTTCGACATGAAAGCACATTTACCAGTAGGAATGACCTCCCGCCAAAACTCATAAATCTCTCTTCATATAGCCGTATGCCTATAACATATACATAATACACTGTAATATAGCCTGGCTCAAATTGTATTGCTTTCTCACTAGAGTTGATCTGCTCCAGAGTTCGTTTCAATCGAGCTAAGACCACCTCATTCAGGCGATCTCGGACCGATTGTTTTGGTGCGGATCTGAGCGAGATTCCTGGATTCACACATGCCAACTGTGGAAAGGCACCAGCCTCCGAAACAAAAGTCTAGGTGTGAAAGCACCCACAAAATAGCTAAAGTGAATTCAGACACTCTCTTAATGCTTTTGCGCCCTGTGCTTTAAACTTTGCGCCTGGATCGATAAATTAGAGCCTTAAATTAAAACTATATTTGATGTTTTTATGAGCAGTGCCGGAGCACAATGGGAGTGTGAAAATTCCAATGCTCTGATTTGTGTCTGGCTTGTTTCCAAAGCAGAATACATTTTAGAAAGTTCTGCTTTTGTGGCATCTTTCTCCACTTTTGCAAATAGACTGAGGTGTTTATGACACAGACAATTAGCATCCTTACTTTTGAAATCTGACTGAAGATATCGCTTCATCCAGTAAAGCCCAGAGCAGCACTAAAACTCAAAGGAAGCTATTTCAAATTCACCTGTCAGAAAAGAGGAAACGAGAACTCAAGGATACAGTTGCAGAATTTAGTGTTCTTGACTTGAGGACTGTGAACACTGTAAAAGGCAAATATTTTTAAAGAATCAGTACTTTTAGAATTTTAATGGTTTAATTTATAGAATTAAATAGGCAATATAAAATTAGTTCATTTAATTCCTTACATCACAAATATGTCCCTTAGTTTTATTTTATTTTTTATAAATATATTTTTTTAAATAATTGATGATCACGCCAAAACAACGGCGGTGGTGTGAGAGGACGCTGGTGCAACGTGGCTGCCGCTTCTCCACCAGAATTTTGCAAGTTTTAATTATTGATTTTAGTGTTTTTAGATGTGGTCTTTTAAATGCCGTTTTACACACCATACTGCATCTTTTTTGAATGAAACTGGAGCTGAGTATAGCTGCAGGTGCCTGGTTTATTACTGCGACCTGTGAGGAACGTTCTGGTGGCTAGCATGCGGCTAAGATACTTTGTTTTTCTTTTTCTGGTTTATATTGGAGTACCTGGTCACTTGGACATTATCATGATCACTTATTTGGGAACGGATCTCTATCAACTTGATCACACCATGACTCCTGCTACAGATGTGATGCATACGCTTCGCTCACTACAACTCTTACGGCGCCCAAGGTACACTCATTGGGGCTCTCGCTGGAATCTTATGGTTCATCAGATCGGCGAAATATGATCTGGATTTTCTGTGTACTTGTGAAACCTGACATCAGACAAATGACTATTTTAACCTAAATATGTGCACTCTGCCAAGCTACACATATTTAGAGCATCCTCGCGCCACCGGCAGAGGTGGTGGCTTAGCTGTCATTTACAGTTCTGACACGACTGTAATTGAGGTAACATTGCCTCGTTTTACAACTTTTGAATGTCTGGTGTTCAAATTGACTGGTACTTCATCTGTTCTCATTTTAAACATCAATCGTCCTCCAAAACCCTCTCCGGAATTCTTTTCTGAATTTACAGACGTTTTGACATTTACTAGTGCACTCTGCCCAGCTCTACTTTTAACTGGTGACTTAAATTTTCATGTAGAGAATGCTGACTGTACCCAAGCCTCATGTTTATTGGACATACTTGACTGTTTTCATTTTCCAACACATAAATGGGGTCACACACTAGACTTGGTATGCACTTCTGGAGTAAAGATCCAACCACCCAAAGCGATTACAGTGCCATTCAGCGATAATAAATTTATCACGTTTGATCTGTACACAACACCATCTCAGACCACTTTCAAACGAACTATTGTTTTGAGGAAACTTGATGATGTCAACACTGACCAGCTGAATCTATTGAAGGTTTACCTATCATGTCCACAGCTAATCAGTATAATTGTGTTTTTAAATTTGTTCTTGACGACTTCGCTTCTCTGAAAAGTCAAGAGGTTTTATTTAAAAGATCATCCCTGTGGTTTACGCAGGAATTACGAAAAATGAAAGTTGCAAAAAGGCAATTGGAGCGAAAGTATAGCAAATCTGGTTTAATAATACACAAACAAATGTTTGAACAGCACCAAACTGAATATCATAATGCTCTGAATGTTGCAAAAAGGGAATATTACTCCCGCATCATCTGCATTCACAGTTTCAATTCTAGAATTATCTTTAGAACAATTAATAATTTCACTGGACCTCCCAAAAAATTCACCTCTGCATCTGATGAGATCTGTAAAGAATTCCTAGACTTTTTCACAACTAAGGTTGATAACATTTTCACTCCTTCATTGCCTGTTAAGCAAATTCTCTGCATGTTGAGCTTTTATCTTCTCTCTCAGCTCCGAGTCTCTCATCTTTTAATGCGGTTGATGATACTCTCATTGCAAAGACTGTTATGTCAATGACTTCAACATCCTGCATACTAGATCCTTTTCCAACCTATGTTAAAAAAAAAAAAAAAAACTTTATCACTATTCGTGCCCCATATCACAGCTATTGTGAATGCTTCACTCAGTACGTGGTCAATAGAAACCACTGCTGTTACGCAAACTCTTAAAAAACCTGGCTGTGACTGCTTATAACTTATGAAGCCTTCTTTTAATATGTATTTTTTTATCATTACTATCATTCTTTTTTGTGTATTTCATGTTCTTCTGTTTTGAAACTCTTTTTAGCGCTTTGAGTCAGAAAAGCACAATATAAATAAAATTTATTATTATTATTATTATTAAAAAGTCAGTTTAATATCAATGACAACATTCTTGCCAAACAAAATACATAAATAGCTGCTGACCCTTTTCTTTCTTTCGTTCTTGCCCTTGGAATAACTTTCACTTTCATGATGCAATTGTCTGTGTTCACATAATAAGTTACTATTGCTGAGAAAATACCTGCTGTGTGCAAGTAAGGTTCCCCTTCGGGTGGGGAACTCCAATGCTATTAAAGGATTTGAATTTAGAAATCCACGAATGGGAGGATTCGGTTCAGAAGCCGCTTGTCTGAAAGAGTTTTGAACAGGCCAATGAAAGCCATTGAATTGGCAGTGTAAACTTGCGCAGGTGTGTTTCATTGCCAATTAACCCAGCATATAAGCACACCTGGAGCAAGCAGACGCCATCATTTTCACTTCAGAGACTTTCTGATCGAGTCGATGAGGGTTTCTCCTGCTGTGATCCAGCGATGCAGAGTGAACGAGAGCATTCTCCTGGTCCAGAGTGTGTACAAGCAGGGGCAGACGGTCGAGCTGGATTTCTCCCTTGCCTGGCGTTCTTTGGGTCCGGTCCTCCAGAGCGGTCCGTATAAAGTTGCAACTTCACAAAGAGAGCAACACAGTCGTGCAGCACGTCCTTTTCAGGACAGCGCTCCGACTGTACGTTTCTGCATGCGGTGGTTTTCTGTCCTCGGATGATGGGCACGGGCACTGCGTTGCATGCCTGGGGGATCCAGCATGTTAATGCTCTGCTCGTGGGCAGTTCATGCCATCATTGCGATGCCATGACTGTTGCGCAGTAAAGATCGCAGCTAGCCTTTGCAAAAGGGCAAACCACCCCAGTTGTCCCCTGCTCTGCAGCGGGCACTAGGGCAGATCTGAGGGTTTCAGCGAGAGATAATACTTCGCCCACGGGCCTGCGGACCTCCCGCTCCTCCAGGCGCTCCATCCAAGCTTCGGGCGGGGGAAGTGATCCATCTAACAGATGGTAGCCCTTACGCTCGATGACACCGGAGACCAGATGTCCACCGCAGCATCGGAGGGTGTGCTTACATTGTCCGATGATGATCCAGACCCGCTCGCCCCCTCCGGGCAGGTGAGCGCTGTCAAAACGGATCCTGAAACGGACATGTTAGCCGTGCTTTCCCGGGCTGCTTCGGCCATGGGTTGGAGATGGTTTATCCCCCAGATCCGCGGCCGGACCGAGTAGAGCGGCGTCCCCTTCTTCACGGAGGTGCACAGTAGGCTCACGCGGTCTTGAAGGGCACTTTTTTCTGCTCGTGCTGCGTGTCCCTCCACCCTCACCACTCTTGACGGTGGAGCGGCCAGGGGGTATGTGGTGATTCCTCAGGTTGAGTGTTCGATGGCGGTCAATCCGCGCGGTGCCTCTTCTTGGCGGGGTCCGCCTCGTCTTCCATCCAAAGCCTGTAAGTTATCTGCCTCCCTCGAAGGTAGAGCTTACAAGGCTGCGGGTCAGGCTGCTTCCGCCTTGCATGCGATAGCCACCTACCAGCGCTACCAAGCGCAGGCGCTGGTCGAGCTGTACGAGGGTGGGACCAACCCAGGCTTATGAGCTTTGCATCGCAGCTGACTAAGCTCTTCGGACTATTAAGTCCGCTGCATGCTTTGGGGAGGATGATGTC